CTGACTCTCTACTGTTATCTGAAATATCCTATGTTCTTGTTGTCCCATTTGGGTGCTACATACCATAGTCAACACACCCTCTCTATAACTACTACTATCTCAACGACTTCCTAGCCTTCTCAAGTGTGTTTTGATAGCAAGCCCTCACATCCTTAGCTAACCTTGGTCTTGAAGGTCTAGCCTTTCTTCTCCCTCTTCTACATCTGGTAGGGACGACGTTCATATGCTCGGCGCGTCGACGACAACAGGCAAAACTCCCAGCTGTCGTGTTCGAGATAAAGAGCACATTGACAGAGGCTTGAAAAACGATGTTCATCACCTGCTTTAGAAAAACCAGTTTAATGCATGCACCCCTATGAGAGCACGATAAAATATGGCGTACCGGTTCTAAGCGAAAGGAAAGACTGTCAGGGTTAGGGTTGCATCCAAAACTGCCTGAGTCCAGGCCCGCTGGGGCTAAGATCTTCCACCTGGCAGCTTCATCAAAAGAAAGATTCAAAACTGAGAGCCATGGAGGATTCGAGCCACAAGCTATCTACTGGCCAAAGACTTTGTAAGCTTATTATCCTGTAAATATCATGAGACTGTGAGTTCGAAGCGGAGAGAGATTCTGCGACGAGAGAGAAGGAGCTCACCCACCTGTCCCCCATCGCTGACATCCCTAAAGTGGTAATCTTGTCACACGACTGTGATTTGTAATAATATTTATTTTAAAAAGGAAGTTATCGTTGATCAACAAGATATCATTACATATCAAAGTCATGTGACATGTAGACAACAATAGTGAAAGAGTTGGTCTTTCATCATACGACGACCTCAACCCCCTCACCTTCATCCAGGACATGCGGGCCTTCACAAGGCCTCCTTTCTTCTCCAACACTCAGGCTCGCTTCCCCTCTCCACTCCTTCTCTATCACACACTGCCTCTCTTGTTTCCCTCTACCAAGAGGTTTTGCACATGGTAGTTCCTACATCTTTTTTATGTTCACAACAGTAGTTACTATGTACTGGTAGTAGCTGTGTGATTTGGGCAAGGCCCTGAAGTGTGAATAAAATTGACTTCAAAAAAGATAAAAAAAACCTAATAGTGAAAATGCTTAACATCCTCCCTTCCTCCCTCCGCTCCCGTCCATGCAATGGACAATAACATGTCAATAACTTTCCTTTTTAAAATAAATATTCAACAATAACTTCCTTTTAAAATAAATATTATTACAAATCACAGTTGTGTGACAAGATTACCACTTTAGGGGTGTCAGTGGTGGGTGACTTGCTGAAAGGCCAAAAATGGCATTTGGTCTTACACGCGCCATGTGGCACAAGAAAGATTTGTAATCACGTGCAGTCTAACCTTATGCAACGCACTCTCCTCCTCTGCACCTGAATGATCAAGACTTGAAACGCGATGTTCAGACCCTGCAGACCTGGTTGAGGGTAGATTTGGAGCATATAGCGATACCTTTTAACCAGGTGTTTGTTTCTCCTTCTTCTACTTGCGCGGCCTGGTTACGCCTCGCCTCGCCTCACCTCTCCTCGTCGTGTCCTCGGGTTCGTGCCATTCCCTGTGTCCATGTCGCTTACTAGTTATCGCACCATCACGGTCAATCCACACTGACTAGGGTATTATGGCGTGGATTCTATTAAGAGCGTCCAAATACGCTGTTACGCCACCATTTGGTGTACCCTAACATTGGGTAAATCACACTCAGGATCAAGTCACACGTCGGCGTCAGCTGTCAATTTGAACGCTCAAAATCCAAATAAACAAAGTACAATAAGGGGATTGCACTACCTACGCTATCCTCGCTCGTCTATGTAGCATCCGACTCCTTGCCTTTTATGTGCACACAAAGACATCCTCTAGTAGCATGTCCAGCTATTATGTGGAAGTCTGGGGGACCGTTGCATGACCTCAGTGCTGGGTCTGACTGAATCACGTAAACTTCCGTTCTGCCTTGTTTTTGTCAACATACTGCGATTCGAAATTCCCCTTCTGCAAAATTTCCGGAAATTGTGTCAGCTTTCGTTGGCGCTAGTGATGTGAAACCCACTAACCAAAGGCAGGGATCGATCTGGAGCGCAGGGTATGAGAAGGAAAGGGGCCTGAAGCAGGAATGTGGCACGGCGCTCTTTCTAGCTAATAAAGACCGTAGTTGCCCTCTGCTTCTCGGATTACATCCTTTCAAAATGCTCGACCTCAATCGATTTGGTGCACTCGCGGCCTCTGTGGTCCTGCTCATTACCTTTTCTTTCTTCAAGACCTGCTCTCGCCGTCCTCATCAGAAATATCCCCCAGGTCCCAGGCGCTTGCCACTTATTGGCAATTTCTTCGATCTACCCTCGGTAGAAGGGTGGGCCAAATATAAGAAGTGGTCCAGAGACTCAGGTAAAGATGGAAATGGGAATGTCGTTGTGCAAGGCTTGTCATCCTCAATCCAAATTTAGGTTCTGATGTCGTACATGCCGACGTGATGGGTTCACACATCATCATCCTGAATTCGGCGAAAGCTGCAAATGACCTTTTCGAAAAGCGCTCATCCATTTATTCCGACAGGTTTGACTCTTTGCAACGAGATTATTATCTGCGATACTTTTGATAACCTTTCTTAGGCCGAAATTTACCGCGTTCCAGCTGTATGTGGTGTCATCACCGTCTGAGTTATGCGTTCTTCGGTTCTCACCAAATTTCCAAGTATGGGATTGGGTTTCAATCATGGTATGCTGCCTTACGGAGACCGTTGGCGCCGTCTACGACGTGCATTCCATGCACACTTCGATGCTACGACATCAAAAGAGTATCGACCACTCGAGATGCAAGCGGTTCAACGATTGCTGCGCAATTTACTTGAAAATCCAGATAACTTCTCTCAGCACCTTAAACAGTAAGTGCAGTCATGACGTTAGATAAAGATCACTGCATAGACGCGTGAAGGAAAGCATGGCGGGGCAGGTCATCCTATCGATTGCATATGGTATTGATGTACGACCGGAAGGTGATCCACACGTAGCAGTGGCGGAGGCTGTGCTCGAAGCCGTATCGGTTGTGTCATCAAACTCGTGGGCTATGCTTCTGGATATGATGCCTTGGTGTAACTGTCCTGATTTTACCGGGAGAAACACGTGGACAACTGAGAAATGTTTACTCAGTGTTGTATATGCCAGGCTGGTTTCCTGGGGCGAGCATCAAGCACGAGGCCAGCAAGTGGCTTCCAATCGTCGATAGTATGATAGGCAAACCACACGCCGAGGTTAAGGCAGCGCTGGTGAGTACCAGAAAAGAGTTTATATCCAATACGATCAACAATCACCTTCGTTAAGGCTGATGGAAGGGCTCCTCCTTCTGTTGCTGCCAAGATGATATTACAACTCGACGAAAATTCGTCAGAAGAAGAAATATGGACTACAAAGGCGATACCAGGTTTCGTGTATCTAGTTGGTGCTGACACCGTACGCCGAATTCGCACCACGAGCCCACATTTCACTCGGCTGAAGCTGACTTGACAGACAGTATCTTCCCTGCGTACCTTCTTCCTTGCCATGGCGCTCTATCCTGAAGTACAGCGCAAGGCTCAGGCTGAAATTGACTCAATTACCAGTGGCTCACGTCTTCCCGACTTCTCAGATATGGCCTCTTTTACCTATGTGGATGCGCTCATCAAGGAGGTTCTACGTTGGCATCCCGTTGCTCCACTCGGTGCGTTCAGCGGTCAGAACGTCAACGTCATCTTATGGCTGACTATGCCGCCATTCAGGTATTCCCCGTCGACTTATGGAGGATGACATCTATAATGGATATTTCATACCAGCTGGTTCGATGGTCATGTCGAATATATGGTGAATTCCTTGACGAGCCCAATCTGCCTCTTCTGTTAATCTGCCGTAGGGCCATCATGCACGACCATTCTATCTACCCGGAACCCAATAGATTTTATCCCGAGCGATGGCTCGTTCCAGACCCGCCCCCCTCCCCGGAAGCGGTTTTTGGCCATGGACGGCGTATCTGTCAAGGTCGTTTCATGGCACGCGACAGTATCTGGGCAGCGATTGTAAACATCCTCGCATCTTTTGAGATCAAGTCCGTGAACGGCAACCCTCCAAAGGAAGTGTACACTTCTGGGATTGTGTCGTTCGTTGTTTTTGATTTCCTTCCGTGCATTTTTCTTACATGTCGGATTTGGCCCTAATAGCTATCCTGAGGCGTTCGAGCTCGATATTCGTCCTCGGTCGGACGTAGCTGCAGCCTTGGTCCACGGAACGGTGTTTGAATGTTAATTGGTAGACCGAAGGTGGGAATGGCGAGGTTCTGTCAGTTCGGACCTTGCCCTGCTCTGATTGAAGCATCCAAGGCAGCCGCCATGCATAGAGGTATTCCTCGACTTGAGCTGCTCCAGTATGTTCAAGCATTCCATAATAATATCAAACTTGAGAATATCGTAACAGCGTCATGAAATGCCCTTGATAGATATTCCCGAGCACATCCTTCTGTGCACGTCCGGAAAATGCGACCTGGGCCTCCAGCATCCTGCCCTCTCAGCTGGGAATCACGTTGTGCCATCCCAGGGGCATTTGAGTGGTCATTGCTTTTTAAGTGTGTGCGCAAAAAGAATAGCTCTCGGTTGTTACATGAGCTCCACTTTTCCCTTAATAAAAGTTATGAATCAATATCGGTACAGAGATGCCGGGGTAGAGACCCCGTCCCCTCTTTACCACCCATTTTCCTCCGCGCGAGGTTTCTTACTGGGCTTCAGCCCTATCACGTATTGTTACAACCCCGTAGTATCCGTGCGACTTAGGCAAGTCCTTGCAGTGCGTATGAATATTTCAAAAAAAAGAAAAAGATGCCGGGATAGCGGTCCGACATAAGATTATTATTATGCTTAGATAGCATCACAACATGTGATCATTTCACATTAAGTAATGATCTATTACGGATAGGAACGCTAGTGTGTATAAAACCTCTGTAGTTACGTTTCAGCACCCCTTCAGTCATAGGAAAAGTATGGCCAATTTGTGGATTGAACCCAAGACCCCCAGACATACTACGACTGGTGCTCTGACCACTGAATGAACTACACAGCCTGAGCCTTGGGCTTCCGAGGTGGTTTCTTTTTGCTGTGTCTTAGGCACAACCAGTATCACCAATGTCGACTAGACTTCAGGCACTTCTCTTTGATCAAACACAATCCTTTATTGCTTTTATAAAAGTGCACTACACTTATTTACATTAAGGTGTACAGTTTTGACCATCATAACCAAAGTGAGTATCGTTATCTATGCGTACTAGTTATAACTACCATTATAAGGTAAAGGCAAATCAACATATTAGCTTTGACCATCATAATTGAAAGGTAGTTTCGCTACTCTAACCCCAGGCTACGTTCAAGACACAACGAGAGCATGCAGTTCATTTGAAGGCTCTGGGGATCTTCTATCCAAAGTACTGCTGTTTTCTTTTTTATTTAGGAAGCATCATGACGAATGTTCTTCAGCTATAGCTTTCCGTGGTCTATCAACCGCACAATTCATGGTGGGCGGCTTCGGATCGCGGTAACATTTTCTGAGCCGACAGGCCAGGCGCCGCATTACGTCGACCTCATCATTGCGTTTTTGAATGTGGGAAATGGATGCTGTGTCCATGATCCTTCTTCGGCGATGTGAGCCTTTCAGGTCACGCACACTCCTAGAACGTCAGCTACTGAGTATCGCTAGATCTCGGTGAGCGACAGTGTTAGTGGGTGAAGACACGGTGGTTCGTTCAATTACTAATTGTAGCCGGTCTAGTACTCAAAGTCACGTGACATAAAATCATTCCCTCTCCATCTCTCTCTTTTGCTCGGGTGCGGGTGTGAACATCGTCCAATGGTGTGACTACTTCACCGCGACGCCCGGGTGCTCCTTAATTATCCTCATCTGTCGTGGAAACCTTTGAATGTTTCCAACCATGTCTGAATCAAGGGACATCTCCACGGCCATTCTCGGCGGCAATTCGCTTTATAAATGTGAACATGCTTCCATGCCTATTCAATATATTTCCCTGGTGCTTCCCTGTTGCGGTGTTCAAATAGCACACATGATATTGTGGTATCTGTTAGCGAACGCTAATAAGAACTACTTTTGTGTTTCCGTTGATCTAGGGGCCCTCTGTCTCTGGCAGCATCTCCCAATCCCAATATGCTTGGCCTCACTCAATATGCTTTCCCACTTGTTTCTGCGGTTCTGATCCTGACTTTATCATTACTCATACCGCGCCTACGCAAGCGTCACTTGCCATACCCGCCAGGACCTAGCCGCCTCCCTATCATTGGTAACCTGCTCAACATGCCCTCTGATCAACCATGGTTCACGTATAAAAAGTGGTCGGATGATTTTGGTAAGGAAATGAATTTAACTAGTATCACGCATAGCTTTCTTACTTTAAAACCTAGGCTCCGATATTGTACATGTCGATGTGATGGGGTCCCACATGATCGTTCTCAACTCAGCGAAAGGGACAAGAGAGCTACTTGACAAACGCTCGTCGATATACTCTGACAGGTGTGATTCCATGGGTAATCCTTGCCTTGTAGCATCCTTGACGTTGTTTCCCAGACCGCAAATGGCTGCGTTCAACCTGTAAGTGTTACCGGTCACGTGCGCTCCACGTTGACCAAATCGTGATGACCACCAAGTCTCGGGTTGACGGAATTTAACCATGGCGTTTTTCCCTACGGCGATCGCTGGCGTCGTATGCGCCATATATTTCTCTCTAATCACCACCCCACGAGCTATCGTTCGCTCGAGACACGCGCAGCTCGACGCCTGTTGCGCAATTTGTTGTCCACCCCGGAGAACTTTGTAGAGCACCTTAAACAGTACGTGTTTTTGTGGCATTGATCAAAGATACTACCCAAACAGGTGAGGGAAGTATGACTGGACAAATCGTCCTATCAATTGGATACGGAATTGACGCACGACCCGAACGCGATCCATACTTGACTGCCGCAAAGGAAGTGGTCGATGCTATAGATCTTGCTTCAACCTTGGAGGCTCGTCTTCTAGATATGATACCCTGGCGTAAGTTTCTCGCTACTTCATAGACCATAGACAGCCGACTGTCGCCCATAGTCATCTATTTACCGAGCTGGTTTCCTGGGTTAAGCATCAAGCGCAAGGCTCGCAAATCACGTTCTTTCATCCTAAACACGCTCGAAACTCCCTACGCTGTAGTCAAAGCGGCGGTCGTAAGTTACTCAGGTGAATTATATCTCCACGATGTCCACAATTTCTTGTTCAGGCCTCTGGAACGGCCAGTACTTCTATTGCTGCCAACATGATCTCCCAACTTGATGAAAACTCAACACAAGAAGAAATATGGAATTCAAAGGCCGTACCCGGTCTCTTGCATTTGGTTACCGCCGACACTGTGAGCGAACTTCACACAGAGAGGAGGATCGCTGCTATAATCGCCGTTTATAGACAGTCTCCGCCTTTCATACCTTTACTCTTGCCATGACGTTATATCCAGAAGCGCAGCGCAAAGCTCAGGCTGAGATCGACTCGGTTACTGGCGGCTCGCGCCTTCCGGAATTCTCAGACCAAGACGCTCTACCATACGTGAGTGCCATTTTGAAGGAAGTTTTGCGTTGGCATCCCGTTGGCCCTCTCGGTAAGCAAACGATGGTCGCGCTTTATCGTGTTATTGGAACGAGTTTGTAGGTGTTCCCCACCGAGTCATGCAGGATGATGTCTATGAGGGTTATTTCATCCCAGCTGGTTCGATAATTATGGCAAATGTGTGGTACGAACATTCTAATAGGGCTCCAGCTTTCCACCTTCTTGACTAACAGAACCCAGGGCGATACTACACGATCCTGTGACGTTCCCGGAACCAGATCGATTTTATCCTGAACGCTGGCTATCCCCCGATGCACCGGCATTCCCGGATCACGTGTTTGGTTACGGGCGACGTGTATGTCAAGGACGTGTCATGGCACGCGAGGTCGTCTGGGTAGGGATCGCAAGCGTTCTCGCGACATTTAACATCGCTGCTGTGGACGGTAAAGTACCGAAGGAGACGTATACATCGGACATGATATCGTACGGCGTTCCTTTCCCCTTTTATACCTGGTCCATGATTACCTATTTGCAGTTTCCCTGAGCCATTTGTGGCGCATATCACTCCTCGATCAGATGCGGCAGCAGATCTGATTAGTCTGACGGCCCCAGAAACTACATGATGATGATGATGATGATGATGACGGAGCGAAGTCGAGACAAGAGGTGGATGTGGATATTATTCTTTCGTTTGTAATCCGTTATCAGCACTGAGATGACATGCGACCCACCCTGTCAACTTGATATCAGATTGCAAGGTCCTGCCAGTAGTGTATCTTACTTGGGTCATTCAAAGCCACAAGATTTTCACCTCTTTACGCTTTCAGTGATCATCCGATTGTCATGAGCGCTGGAATTAGTATGTCACAGGGTCCCGGGTCCTAGGGCTGCCATTTCTCTAGCATTTCCGTCCCGTATTTTTTTTTCTTTCCGGTCCCAGCAGCTGCGGAAGGGGAGTCTGGATCGTTGCTGTCCGTTTTTTTTTTTTGATGGATTGATAGTCTTTCGGCTTGATGGGTGTGGGTGTGAACTTCTACACCCGCACCCGAATATTCGGCGGGACTGCCACTTGTTTCGCTACCTCAAGAGGAGTCGCGTCAACATCCCCTTGTTCCTGATATTGCTTGTCGAGCGTTGCCGAAACTTGTGTCGTTGATGACGGACTGTGTTTACAACTTGCTGCTGCCAGGTAAAGTGCTTATGTACACAAATATAAACAAACACAAACACCTCAAACAAACATTTTTCCCACCACTTTGCTTGGTGTCTGTCAATCACTTGATCACTGCTCGACTCTCTGTAAAGACATAGTCTATCTTAGCTTCTGCTCGACTACCACATTTTATTGCGTGACCTGCCCCTCTGCCCTTGATGGATACTCCGTTCCTTCCACGGGTCGCTTGTCCCAGCATGCTTTCTTTTTTGATCTGTGTCTTTGCTCTACGGTGCACTCTGGATTCAAATCATGCCATCTTTTGGACCCATATGCTACTTGTTTTAATAAGGTTCAAGACGCTTGAAAGAGGATATAAGGAAGGTGATGTAAAGCCGGCCATACCGCGTGGCGTAACGACGAGGAACTCAATGCGCAACCTATTTCCCCGAGTCATCAGGCAACCTTACTAGCTTTCCTTAGTAAGGTTTCGTTATGCGGTCGTAAGGTAGAAGAAGCCCCGGACAGTGCACATGACCCACTTAAAATGCGTAAAACAGGTTGCTGCATTCAAAGGGTCCACACAACATACCACCTCACTCCGAAACTCTACAGTACAATTGTAAGTCATAAGGTTGTTGGACCACTTCAGCACGTTATTCCTTGTAACTATTTCAGCCCTATGACCTGATGTACCAGGGTAAGCCAGGACAGGCGCATTTCAACGTCTAGGTATCAGTGTGAGAAACTACCCAGGTCCAAATGGCAGACATAACGTGGGTTTTGTGTCAGCTGTGCATTTCTCGCTCGTTCGTGTAGCAGTGCTTCCAATGGATCGATAACGAGCCCTTATTATGATATGCTTACTGGCAGCCAATGTGTGAAAGTGACTAAAGTCCTTGAACGCTCTATACTTAGGTCCATTGGAGTGCTTTCACTGTCTCCTTGTCATTCACATGTCCAGAGTTTAGATGACAAGCAAAGCACGAACATTGGATCCAAACCCACGTTCCGCAGAAATTCCGAGATATCGCGTCTGCTTCTGGGCCTACAGTTTTGTCCAAGCTACTAACAAAGTGCTGTTTCTCCCATCGGCCTAAAGTAGAAGATATGCTCAGGTGAAAGATGCAACAGTCTTGTGTGTGCTGAAGGGTTATATATGTTCGCATTCATTCGCCTGAGGTATCATCATCGTGGTCCAACTAGTAGCCGACATTATTGACAAGACCCACTGTTCCCGTTGTTGCCTGGATAGAGTCGCTTACAATGCTCGACCTCGTTCAATTAGATGCCCTCTTTGCATCTGCGATTCTCCTCATTACCTTGTCACTCT